CACCTTTTCGGCAGAAACGACCTTATGCTTGCCAAAGCATCAACATTGCATGCAACGCGAATCGCAAAAAAAAAAANNGGATTTGCGCATGAGTTCCTTCAGCTCCGAAATGTCCTGCAGATCCCTCCGTGTAGCCCACTCGCCGTGCCATTCGTAAATGACATCGTTCTGTTGCACGTGGGCTGTGACCGCCAATCTCCCCTCCCACGCGCATGGTTTAAGGCGACCCATCCATGACATGCACCAAAGATGGGATCCCCCACACATTCTTGCATTGATTTTTCAACAAGCCGTATCAAAAGTTCCGAGCCGTTCGCTCCGTGGGAGCTGTGTCTTGAGTAGCCTACACCCGCGTTCCCTCATGCTCAAGCCCAGTGTTGCGCAACAGTCTTACTGCCGAGTCTGGTTCTTCACGTGATTTGAAATCTGCAAGCAGGCTGGAACAATTTTATCACCAATTACATACGCTGCCACATAGAGGTGGAACTGCAGATGCAATACGTCAAGCATGAACATCAAAAGTCAGCCATGCGGCGCAGATGTCGACGGAGCCGCGCTGCGCGTTGCCGAGCGGAGCAAACGGGCAACATACCCGGAACTTGCGGCCGCCGGCCCGCAGCGCCTAATCGTACTTGGGGCGGAGGTGGTGGAGCACTCGGTTTGGTGCGCGATCTGGTTCGGGTCCGCGCATTTCAAGCCCCACCCGCCGTCCGGCGCGCCGCCAAGTGTGGCTGGGCACGCAGGTGGTGGAGCATGTGGCCGTGCAGCAGGCCGTAGCTGGCACGGCCCTCGGCTGTGCCCGGCGGATGGCCTCGTCGACCTCCGCGCTCGACGCTCCACCGCTGGAACACGTGCTCGGGTGTCGGGTCGCGGATGCCGGCAGCAGGCTGCCATTCCGGGCGTAGTCAGCCATGCAAACGGCACAGCTCAAGACCGTGTAGTGTAGTCCGGACCGCACCAAAACCCTCCATGCAGGCATAAAAGTCCGCATCGACAAAAAAAGTCAGAGTATGCCATCCAAGCGGACAAAAGATGTTTGACAGCTGTCCTTGGCAATCTTGAAGGTTGCAGACATTGGCTCGGGCACCAGCATGGTAGCGTAAATCCTTGGATGGCCCAGGTCCTCGAAGTGTTTACGACAAAGGCGGTTTTTGTGGTAGAGTCGCATTTCGGTACCCCCAAATGAACTTCCACTTTCTCCAAACTTTCCTCCCAAGCAATTTTGAAATCGCCAAATATGGTGTCAAGCTCGCCAAAATGGGGGGTCAACTCACTCATGGAAATCGTCATAGGCTGCCCCTCCAATCGTCAGAGCGAAGCAATACCAGACATCTAAACCTCCATGGATTCCGTGGGCGCCGCCATTTCGTCATCAAGCTTCTCACCATCATCGTTTGGCATCCGCTCCTTGTCACTGACGCAAGCGGAAAGGGTGTATGAAAAATGGTTTCATCAAAATGTATCATATTTAAGCCTTTGTTGCCCGTTTGTCCTCACAAGCCGTCATGTCCCATCATGATGGTGCATTAGCTCATGGTTTTGTTTGCGCCATTTTCCGGCCTCTTTTTTAGTGCGCGCCTTCTGCCGCCAGCATGTACGATGTACGTGGTCGGCAGTTGTCGGCAGGATGGCATCGACCCAGGCTAGCCGCTCACCTAGGCTGGGTGCAGCTGGCCAACAATGACAACGGATGCTCCGGTTGAGCTCGTGGGGTTCCCCGGCGCCAAACCTGCCTCCGGCACGGAACGTTTTTTTTTCCTGTGACCAGCAGCGCCGCGGCCAGCCGGCTCGTCACAGCAGCCGGCTGGAGGTCGCACAATGGGATTTTTTTTGAAGCTGCTTCGCGCGAAGCATCCGGACCAGGACCTACACGTGTGGCCCAGGCAAACGCTCAGGCCGCCACCGGTTTACGCTCGCCGCTTGGGCACGGCCCGGTCTCGTGAAGGAGCGTGCTTCGTGCCAACTTGATCATGGAGCGCGCGCGCAGGCGCGCACTGACAAGTTGGGTTTCCCACAGTCGCTTGGCTGGCAACTGCCTGCTGACCTTGCCATTTCATAGAGGAGGCGCAGGCCACGCAAATTCCGCTGGATGCATCGTAAGGCTACTGCCTGCGACTCGGGCAGTGGAAATCGGGTCGACACTTTTCTTGATGACGCGTTTGGCTAAAACATCGTGGGGCGGGTGCAAGTGTTCCTTCAACAGTGGTTGCCGCATCCCGTTTCAGATGCCGCTAATTCAATGGCCGGGGGTAACCCTTTTTCAATAATTAAACACGAACACCAATGCCCATGCCATGGGTTGAGTTACCCCCCCATTTCGTTCAAAGAAGAAATTGCCGATGGCACCCCCCCCCCGATTTCAGTAAGAACAATTTCTTTTGGTGCTTGCAAAGATCGAGCGGTACTACCTTCACTGTGACGCTGACGTGGGGGTACCCTAAATGGAGCAGCGATGTGGTACTTACTGTTGGTGCCTGATCCCCATGGTTTTTAAATTTTTTGACACAAAAATCTGTACGAAGATAAATCCAAGATATGAATGGATTAACCGAGAATGAAAGATGCATGCACAATAAACAGTGGAAATACGATACAAATGTAAATATATCTATCTCTCCCTGGAAGGCAGTGCGCAGTGGCTTGCGTTTTTTACTTGCGTATTTTGTGTAAATTTATCCATGTCATCCAAAATCCTCTCAAATTTTATAACTTTGACTTCTTCTCATTTTTTACATAATTCGATGCTGAAGGTGTTTCAAGCGTTTGCAAGAATTAAGTAACAACTACAGATTAGCGATAAGGGCCTCATAAAGAGAAACAAAAGCCAAGACGTGAGAATTCCCATTTACACTTCCGGCATATTTAGTCAGACAGAAAAATCAGCACAGCAAGAGCCCAGGAGCGCAATAATATTCTCAAACCCAAAGCAACCAACAATTCACTAATTCGGTTGCCGGTACAACAAACCCTCTGCTCCTACGAGCGCAATAACGGTCGTTTTTCCACAGGATACAAGAGAGATATAGTTGACTTGAGAGAAGTGGAAGCTCCAGTTCGCCGCGGGTGTTTTTTATCCCATAGAAGTTCAACAGAATAAGTTGGAGCTTGCGCATCTTTTTTGAGGAAGGTTTTGTGCTTCTAACTAGGACACGCTTTGCTGTACGTAGGATACTCCAAGACATCTAGATAAAGATACGTGTGGCATGTTGTTACATATCAGATTTGGGAAGGGGTGGAGGGTCCAAGCGAGCAAAATTTTTGTTGGAAGACTTTTTCGCAGCTCTGCCTAGCTCACTGGAACCCTGATACTCCCAGTTACGGCCCATACAATACCTCCCATACAATATTTCCTGCGTACGTACTTCCTACGCAACCCTGCAGTTATAGATCATTCATATCCAACACTTAGGTCACTAATCGGTGCGCGCATTTCTTCAGATCCAGGTTGAAAGCTCCTCACATGTATAGAGCGAGGGGAAGAACAGGGGCGGAGACTCTTGCAAGCTGGCATTGTTGGAAGATCCTCCGCCCCCTGTTTCCCCGACGTGGCTAAAAAAAACCCTTACTTATTGCATTGATTCTGAATGCTGCAAACTTAAGAGAAAGCATACATCCAGGAATCCAAGATTATTGTTATTTCCAATAGAAATATCTCTTGGTACATGCATTCCAATTCTAAACAGGAATTCGGGAATCCTACATTTCATTTTTACGTATAAATCCCATTCTACAGGTTTCTCAAACTCAAGTAAAGTTGAGTTTTCAAGTATTGAGTTTCTTCCTTTCTTCTCTACATAATACTCAAATTTCAATTGGAATGAACATTTTTTACATTTATCCACAATATGACATGTATTGGAGACCATGAGAATAGTACTGAGAAAGGGCTCAAAAGAGTCCAGCCATCATGTATCAATAAGGGTTTGTTGACAAATGAGGGTGTGTTTTTCGCAAAGGTTTGTTTGTAAGCAGGGCTTGCTCCTGAGCAATTTATTAAGATGAGGTTCAACAATGACTTTTTGAGTTGTATATTTATTATCATTAGAATCAGAATGTACTATACACAGAACGTTGTCATATGTTGCTAGACTTGTCAGGCGGATTGGATTTCGGGTTGGAAGGCTCACCTCAGAAATTATTTTCCGTATGGGAAGGACATCAGAAGTTGAGGTGGAGGGACCCGCTGGTAGGGGACATGGGGGAACTATTCGCTGCGAGCGCACGCCTACTCCTTGCTCAAGCTCGCGGACCCCGCACGAGGACAACGAAACCACACTAGGCAACCTCCTGACGGGCAAGGGCCACCATCGGAGAGCCAGCCCCCCGCGGCAACGCAGGGCAGGATAATGCAGGTAGGCCCCGACAGAGACCTGAGGCAGCCATAAAAAGGCGCGAACAAAAACAAACATAAACTAGGACTCCCCCGCCCCTCCCCTCCCCCCGGTTTACCAACAGTTATAATCACATAAACGCACCCGGATGATAGGATTAGGCTAAGTCAGCAGAAAGCATAGTTGAGATAATCGGGGTGATTGCCGATTCTTGCGATCTCGCGTGTCTGCCTGGCCGAAGCGGCGGGGCACTCAACTGGCAAAGCAGCCAGCAGTCGACAGTCCAGAGCTTGGCGATCTGCGTCGCGCGCACCTTTTTTTTGGCACAGATCAGAGAGGCAAATCAGTTAGCCGAGGTTTACCTGAAAAGAAACTCTGCCAATATGAATTGCTGAAGCGAGTTTGTTACAGAGGTTTTCAGTGCCACCGATGTGTTTTGGGATCCGGAGACGGGCTGAACACGTAAATCAACCTTTGGCAAATGCTTGTGTGCTGCCTGGAATGCGGATAATTTCTACAAACATGCAATACCTTTTGTTTCTGAACTTGGCTGCACCGTAGCAGAATCCACCAGCATCCACCAACGATTGCGACGGGAATTTTCATTTACTTTAGAGGTGTCGCTCCTTGAGGTCTTCTGGACAAGTTGCCGCCGCAGCGAATGCATTCATGAAGAAATGTGAGCAGAAGACGGAGGCATCTGCTTGGCAACTTGGCAACAGTCCCATTTGAAAGCAACTGCGCCGGAAGTTCCAGGCAAATGTGGCAGCGAAGGCACAGGTGGAAGGAAATGCCAACTTGGATTTTGCGAGGGCCTTGACGCAGAGATCTATTCGGCAAGAACATGATAACAGTGCAGTCAGCATGCTTATCCATGTGGCAATGATTTGCGAGGTGAAGGTCACCCCGCAGCAGATCGCAAAGGCCGTGGGATGCATTCAGCTTGGGGACCATCAGCGCATGCCTAGCTCGGGTTATGGCAGGCCGAAAAGAAAATAGGAGCGCGGCAAAACAAGAAGCAGAAGAAGTGATGCCACAAAGTAGGCAGCTGCTGCGTTTCACCTCAGGGTTGCAAAACAAAACCAACATTGCCGGTTGTGAATTACATTGTGAAGCGAGGGCTATCTTCGGTGATGGACCTGTAGGAGACGGTTCCCGTGCGTGGACAGACACGGCATTTCTTGTTCGATTTCCGTGTGATAGGCGTATGGCAACAAACAAACTCCAAGGGTGCCCACAAAAGTCGTTACATTTGATCACAGCCATCGTGACGCTGCAATCACATGAGACGACATTGCAAGATACAGATAGGAGCAACCCAATTTTGTTGCCATGGACATTTCATATTTCGCCAGCATTGGCTTGCCTGTGGGAAGCTGAATGTGTTATCTTGCTGTAAATGCCTGATATTGATGTGGACAAGTCGTGTCAAAGGTCCGGATTCCGGAGCTGCAAACCAATGTCGTGCCTGATGCACCTGCTGCACGGAGTCTCAGAGCCAGCTGGGGTCGCTACGCTGATTGACGCATTTTACACTAGACCGGGGAGCATGTCCTGCGATTTTTTTGGATGGCGAGCACATCAGCATGTTGTGGTTGCATGCTGCGACCTCGCAAGCGAATCTGTAAAGGAAGCGCGTCTTGGAAACCGGGAACCGACGGAAAAGCTGATAGCTTCAGCGGCCGAAGCCTTAACGCATCCTGCTAATCAAGCCTTTTGAATGTTGTTGCATGACGTGCATGCGGCTGTTTCTTTGCCATGCCGGCTTCCTGTCAGAACACTCCTGAGCAGACAAACCGCTGGTACTTCAATCCCGCATGTTGAGAATTTAGCTGCCCTGTGCAATGTCCGCAACACTACTTATTCCCTGTTGCAATGCTGCGATTGTTTGAGTTTTACGGATTGGAGATGACTTCACAAGACTTGAGCTGCCAAAATTTGCCGAACGCTGCCGAACGTTGAGGAAGTTAGCACGTCATGCTTATGCTACGAGGTCCAGGTTTTTCTGCTATGAAGTCGCTGTTGTTACCCAAACGATTGTTGCTGTGGTTGATTTTGTCGTCATCCTCATCGAAAGCGCTACGGCTGCTGCGGTGGTGTTGCTATTGCTGCCGCTTCTGCGCACTTGCCGCTGCTGTTGCTGCTGGTGTTGCCGCTGTTGTCATCGCACACGCTGAGAGTTTGTTTGTGCAAGTGAGCAAGAGGCGAGACCCAGCACCTCAGCCAGTGGTCCCTGGGCGATCTAGTGCTAGATCATGCTCTAAAACCAGCTAAAGTCTTGTGCTGCCAATAGGTAACCCAATACTTCAACACTGTAGCCTCAGGGGAGGAGTTTGCCCTGCCCAAATTTAACGTCGAAGCGCTTGTTTGTAGTGCCTCGGTCATCCTTGGTTTGCTTGTTTGTGGATTTGCAGGCAATTGGGGTTTGTGTCGGTTGCTGCTTCTACGTTCTGTGTTCACGAGTGCGGCGGCTGTGGGGCCATTGTTGTTGCGCAAGCGTCTTTCCGATTCTGCTCTACTTTCTGTGCGCGCCGCCCCGCAAATTCCCGTCCATTCTCCGGCTACCTGTTCTGCTGCATTGCCACTGCTGGCATTGCGGTTGCATGCATTTTGCCAGCCTTTGAACTTATCAGCAGTTTGATTGGATGACCTTGTTGAGATCGCAGACACCGTGTACATGTAGCTTTTTTTAGGCTGCGTCGGTTGATACAACTCCAGTACCTGGACGTTTTCCGTTCATAACTCTTAGGCCTCTGGGAAGACCGGTGAGACCAAACCCCTGTACATGGTGAATGGCCGAGCATGGTCAAGTGCCAATGATTCGCTGTCTTCATTTGTGCGGAAGATGTTCTTTGGAAGCCGGACCAGGATGCCACGTACGTTTTCCAATGCAAAGCCCGGATTGTGGATTCAAAGCCAAGCGAGGACGGAATGTGATCGCAGCTGCAGGGCTGATGTGTTGCAAGTTGCACACGTCCAGCTTCAGGACGGCAAAGCTCTGCTCATTGAGACCCTGCCTCAGGTAAATTTTGATGCGCCCCAGAGCTTTGGGTTGCTGTTTTCTCTTGGCAACGGCAAACCCAGGGTTCTGGGCGGTAACTATTTGTACAACGAAAGTTGATTGTTTAACTTAACACGTATGGCAAGTATTTGAAAGAATAGGTGCCAGGGACTAATGCAATGCGAATTCATTAGGATAGCCTCCAAAGAACAAGAGCAGCAGACCCTACAACAAGAACAATAGCATCACATTTGATCACATGAGGCTACTGGCATCACATGAAATGTTGCAGTTCATGGCCAAACTTTTAGTAGCCAAGTATAGGTTGTATAGTTGGTGATGTGCGTGTTCTTGTATATTAGCTGGGGTGAAGTTAAGCCACTAGACAGCCGAGAAATCGGAAAGTATTCGCCACTCAACATGGGATGTATGTAAGAAGTGGAGATAGTCTAGCTGAATTCAAATCAACTTTGGGCATGGAGAGTAGAACGCCGGAGATGAAGTTAAGTGGTGTCAAAAGTATTGTGTTAGGTCATCTATATAGAAATTGCACATGGTTTAGTAGGAGGGTTGGGGTGCTGATGAACAACATCAGGAGGGGCAGCATTGCGATGTTCGCCCCTGTTTTTGAATGTATGTCGGCAGTGAGATCGGACATCTGACTTTAATCTGGAAGCGAAGTACATTGAACCGAAGAGGTTTTCTTTATGTCGGTCGTGATAAAACAATGTACGATGATTGTCAGAAGCCTCCTTAATGGGATGTTACATGTTTTATGTTTACGGACATCGATTGTCCTCTGGACGTGTAAAAAGAACCAGCAAGTAAAGGTGAAAGGTTGAACAACGAATCAATACATCGAAAGAATAGAGACAAGTGATACATTAAAAACATGTCGATCCGTCTTCACCAGTAGAGCATTTAGCAGATTGCCATGTTTTGCAATGAGGCCTGGTCCCAAACATCATCAGTCAGAAAACAGAAAATGACGTGCTGTGTCATTTTGCTTTTCTTAATCTATCTTAGTTTTATGTTGCAAGTCCAAAGCCTGTTGAACCTGTTGCATTTGATCATTGTTGAACGCTTCAACATTGACATGGACAATGGAGCTTCTTTTTGTTTTGCGGGTTGACATTTAAACCTGTCTCTGCACATGTCTCAACAGATGCCATACAGCATCTACATCTATACTTCTACAGCTACTTGACCAGACAGAGGTATGACTCAAACACCCTCTATGAGTGTGAACAATCCAATTTGACAGAAGAGCCTTTTTAACCAGAACCTGCTTGCTTTGTTCTATCAAAAGCCTGCTTTGAGTAAATGTGGTTCCCTTTGTTTGGCAGTCAGCCGATTTCAGGTGATCGGACTTATTCTTGAAGACTACGTTGTTCAGAAAGCATTCCACGAATGCCACAGTTACCGAAAGCGATGCGCGAATATAGCACATCAGTCGGAATATCAAAAGTTTAAAAAGATATGAACTCCAAGATAAGCAATTGTACAACTATGATTTTTGTAAGGAGTGGAAGAGTGGTTGTTGAAATTGCGGATGCGAGGACCATAGATATAGACAATATAAGACAAGATCATCAACCAGAAGGAAGGTACATGTAAAAATACCTATTCCTCATAACAACTGTTATTCTATGTAAGGCACCTCTTGTGAATGCTGTGCAAGACTTCAGGAAAGTGTGCCAGAGGACAGGGCTGTCGTTTTCGGATTGTGCTTGGGTTGTGTTGTGACTTGTGGTTGTGGTTGTGACTTGGCATTGTGCTATGGATTGTTGTGAAGATTGTTTGGTGTACTTTGAGATACCGGGGTGGGGGGGAGGGCGGGGTTCAGGATCTGCGGGCCACTGCTTGCTCCGAGAGGCATCCCTTGTCGATAAACACCCAGCTACAGAACTCGCCTTTTCTTGATGGGCCATGATGTGGGCAGCTTCCGACATTATTTACAGTCCCTTGAGGCTCGACCAAACAATATTTCATCCTCAAGGTGGAGGCGCTGCTGCTTGCATGACTCTTTCTCTGCATGGGCGACACCTGTGCAAGGTCAACCAACTGATATGGGGCGGCTGCTTGCAGATGACTTGTGGGCTTCCCATGTCTCAGCGAGGCAAAAGCTGTAGTACGCGGTTGATACTGCCTGGCGTCTCCAAGGCCTCCTCTCGAAATGGTGTTCGCCTCGAAGGACAAGGCCCCTTGACGGACCCATGCAGGTGAGCTGTTTGCAATCCAGTGTGGTATATGGCAAGACTGCCTCAAAGCAAGGGGCAAGGGAGGAAGCCCCGGATGAGGATTTGTACATGTATTTGTTTGTCTTCGGTTGAAACTGTGCGGCAGTAATGTGCGGTGGGTGCACAAGGACTGTGTCTGAGCATGCGCAATTTCAATGCAATGCCTAGCAGGCCGGCTTAGCCAGCAAGTCTTGGGCGCGCATTTGATAAGAGGTCAGGAATGGAGTTGTTTGGCACCAATGCGCAGGCCAGGATGTGGCTGGAGGGGTGAGTTGCAAATGGTTTGCAAGACACAGCACCGCTTGCGTCTTGGCCCAGGTGATATTGAACCCTGGATGAGACAGAAGAGACTGTGCCCAAGAACAAGCTGCAAGCCAGGGCAGACTGGAACACCTAAGAGATCCTGCGTGAGGTTTGGAGGTGACATGCCAAGTGGATGAAGCTCGACGCCGACTTTGCGCAAGATTGCATTCTGCCGGACATCTGCTTGTCAGGTCCTCAGAGCGGTCGTCCACAAGAATTGCCTCGGCCCAGCGATTGTCACATTACAAGCTGGTCATGCAATCGCTTCCCCCTCATATTAAACGACGACCCCACCCACTCATGCTCGAGTAAAAATAATCCGCCGTCAAATTTGTTTGCTAATTGTCTTGCGTAGTTTATTTCTAGCTTATTTGTTTCTGTTGGGGGGAGGCGGAGCGGCGCAGGGTGTGCCTGTATTGAAAGAATTGGATACGTCTCCCTTCAATACATTTCTAAACGCCGTTAAAAATCGGCTTCGTGCCATTAAGGAATCCAATACACTTCCATTAAGACATAACGGTTTCAACAGCAACCCAATTCAAAATCTTAATTAGAACCGACTCATGAAGTCCGTTTAATATCGAACTTCAATTTGTCTAAAGTGTCATCGAAAACAATTGAAATCTGATTAAGCTACTTGCTAGTCACCTAATTGAAGTCGGATAACATCTAAGTAAGATCAGCACAAAGCTAAACAACACGAGTCAAACACTCGAACTAGCATCAGCATCAGTTGAAAGTGGGCTCAAGGTCAATTGAAGACCCAGTTAAGATATGTTAAGATATTTGAATTCAAATATGACTTGACACGGCACCAACCAAAATCTAACTAATCAATCAGAAATCGAATTAGCATCAGCCAAAACTGAAAATATGATTGGAATCTACTTAAAGTTCCACTAAAAGCCAATTAGAAGACTTCTGTTTAACAAATTAACATCCATGTCAAGACCTCTCCCCCTGGCCCCGCTGACCCCCCGCCCCCGCCCCTTGACCCAAGATGCGCATGTATATGGCTTTAGGTGCATTGCCTATCCGTGTTTCTGATGTGGATGTTGAGGCGCTTGGGAGCACATACTTAAAGTCAATCAATCAGCCGATCTATTCAAGATCTACACTTTCAGAACCTGAGTCATATCGAGTCATGCGTTGCCTGAGATGCTCAGTCATACAATGAGGTCTGCTTACAGCATCCACTAGCAAAAAGCAAATTATGCCTTTAATGATCTCCTCAAATTCCAATTAGAACAACATCCCTGGTAGTTGGATTACCCGCTTTCGATAGGGTGCTGCTTTATGTAAGCCGTTGTGAACCCGCTTGTAAATTAGAACAGAAACTACCAAATCCTAGTTTCTGGATGTTTGGTTAGGGTTCCGGTCTATATGAATTCCATTTAAAAATCAAGTACGAATAATCGAATAATATTGGATTCCGAGCAATTGCTGGATTTCCGGTATTGGATAGGGTTCTGGTCTCTATAAACTCCCTCGAATAAGTTAAGATAGATATAGTACCAAAGCTGTGGATTGCTGAATTTCGGGTTTGCGATAGGATTTTGGTTTCTGTGCTGATAGTTGATCAGAAATAATGCGAAAATCATGGATTCCTGGAATTCGGGGTTTTGATACGGCTTTGGTTTATGTGAATATGTGTTACATCAGAATTAGAATCAACACAAAAAAATCCTGCATGTCTGGCAGTTCCTGGATTTGCGGTGTTGCGCAGACTTTTGCTTTATATGATTTCTTTGTAAAGCTTGTTCAGAAATGATGATACTAAAACTCAGTGTTTTCAGATTTCCAACGTTCGATTGGATTTTGGTTGATACGCATTCCTTCTAAACTTTGTAGACCTGATACAAAACTCATAGGTTCCTGCAGTTCTAGTGTTTGATAAGACTTTGGTCCATTTGAATTCCTTGCAGTTTGGTGAAGAGTCCTTCTTTACTGTGTTTTCGCCGCCGCGTATCCAATTTCAGGCCAGTGTTGGGAAGACCTTCCTTTAAGGTGTTGTGATTTGGGGGCCCAAAGAAAAGGGGGAAGCTAGCTGCAAATGTTGAGGCCCCAAGCTTGATAATTCACTATCCTCATTCCGAAAATCCCGAGCTGTCAGAAATCCTTTTCATTTATTCCCCAGACCCTTACTGCCTGAGATTCGATGATCCCCAGAGCCATCAGATAGCCTTTATAATTTACTCCCCAGACCCTTACTACCTGAGACAGCATTTTGAGGCCCTTATTCAGAGTCCTTAACTTTTGTTTTCTGAGGGCCCGATTGTTAGGGGTGGAGGGGGGGGGAGTTTAAGCACAGCGCACCGTTAATGATGAATAATGTTGAAATCCTGCATTTCTGGATTCCTGGTTGTTGATGGTGTTTTTATCTACATGACGTCCTTCTAAAAATCAACTTACTCAAAATACAAAAACAGGGCTCTTAGATTCGCGACTTTCGATAAGGAGTTTAGGAAAAGTCCGTGCCGCAAAAACATGATTTGCGCTCATATGTCTTCAGTTTGAAAGTTAAAATGATACAGAAACCATGGTCCTTGGGCAACCCAAACCCGTAAACCAAAAAGGCGACAAAAACACGAAATTGCAGCTTGCCTCAAAAATTGGGGTTCCCTGTTTCTTTGGGTGCCGGAGCAAAAAACCGAAGGGATTTTCATTTTTGGATGATCCACCCAAAAAACCTACTAGCATTTCGCTGCAAACCCAAAAACCTGCAGATATTTTTTAGGTTTTGAATGAAGGGTAAGAAAACGTCCAGAATTTTGGTTTTTCATGAAGACGCCGCCAGAAAGTGCATTGTTGGCTTTTCGACAGAAAGACCTTTTTGGTCCGAAACAAGAAAAAGCATGAATAGATAAAACAACTCGCTCTCTTGTTCTTGTTTTTTGGTATCGTCCAGGATTCCTGGGTTTCCGCATAACTCTATTGGCTTGAAAAGGAGCTCATATAGACCAACATCCTATCCAAAACCGGAAATCCAGGATTTCAGGATTTCGTAGTATTTCTATTGAGCCTTTAGAGGAGTTCAAACAGACTAAACTCTTAGCAAACGCCAGAAATCCAGGAATCCAAGAGTTTTGTATTATATCATATATCTCGTTAAAAATTAAGAGGAACACATCAACCACAATCCTATTGAAATCAGGAATCCAGGAATCCGCGATTTTCGTGTTATTTCTAAGTTATCGTTGCAAGGAGTTCAGATACATGAAACAAATATTTAAGCAACTGCGAAGTAACTACATATTTAGCGGCAAACGCTCCGAAATCCACGTTTCTGCACGTCTAAAGAGTGAACATCAAAACTGGTACCCGCTCTGTGGCCTTCTTCCTGTTTTCAAGTAGAAAAATGTCCAACACCATAATGTGGAGGAGGAGGACGGCACGCTGGAGTACCCGTTGCCTTACAACCGCGTCCCCCCCCAGCATCTCAGGAGGGCTCCGGAACCGTCATTGCCCTCCTCCACGGGAGTTCAAGCGGAGGATCTAGTTAATGCAGCCAAGCCCCAAGAACAGCAGAAAGCCGATATGAGAGCAGGGAAGACAGGTCAAGAGAGGAATGAGAAGGGAAAGCACCCGAAGTAGCCGCGGCAGCAGACGAAAGTGGAGGTGGCAGGAAGGAGGACTGCAGCAAAAGCAAAGCGCATGGAAACCTGGCCTGCAAGAGACGCAGCGCCGGAGACGGGAACGGCGAGCCATACCTCAAAGAGGCCGCTGAACCCACTGCCCCGAACGACGTTTGGACGGCCACCGAGCGCAGCTGCATAGAGAAAGGCGGCAAGGCGAGAGGACCACAGCGCGAGCAGAGTGTGAAGACGCGGCGCCCGCCAAGAATGGCGGCTGGGGAGAATGTAGGAGCCCGAATGGTGGCTCGGGGGAGTAATCATCAGCAGCGAAAGCCTGAAAAAGCAGGGGCAGGGCGAAGAACAGCCGTGGAAGCAGAGCGTGAAGAAGGGGCCCAGCAGAAACGCCAACAGCTGCACAAACACAACCGTGATCCGACAAACAGCTGGTAGAGAGCAAGGGATGCAAAGCGGTCGCGAGAAGACAGCAAGAAGTAGGTGGCAGGGCGAAGAACCGCCGCGCAGGCAGAGCGCGAAGAAGCGGCGCCCAGCAAAAATACCAACAGCTTGGAAGGCACCAAAAAAGGCTAAGCATGGCCAAGCCATTACGTGGGAGATAACAAGGGACCTA